AGTGCACGTTCATGAATCGTGAAGAAATCGATGGAGAGAGCTAACGCTGAGAGCATGACCAACTCGAAACTTGAGCCCTTTTTCAGTGCGGTAATTCTAATTAGAGATGTTATCGAACTGTGTAAGACTCTAGAGCCGCACTTATCTCTTCTTTGAGTATAGTCTCTTTGCCAGACGCAACAAAGTATTTCAAGGCAAAAGTCTATAAATTCAATGAGTTTATGTTTTGCATCTTGTAAAAAGTGTCTCTCGCTCTGCGTTTCTCTTTTCGTAAACTCTCAAGTTCCTATAGATTTGCGATTTCCTTCGAATAAGCCATGTCAGACTTTACTAATTGTCAATTGAGCTTAAGAGCAAGTCAAACCTTTTATCTCAAAGGGCCTTGAAAACACTCTTTTTTTATTGGTTTGAACAGCCCTTCAAAAATTTTCTGGTGATGCTCAAATTTTTTTGGGAACTTGTAGCCAAAGTTTGTCAAGGTACTGATAAAAATACACTTTCATTTTTGTATCATCCTCTCTGTCTGTCCCTTCTAAAAATTAACTTTGTGTTATGAAAAACGCAAAAAAGGGTTTTTTGTTACACTTCCGCTACTTATACATGCATTTGAACTTAACGCCTTCTTTTCAATTCCAAAAGACTACTTATCGAGATTCATTATGTGTATTTGAGTAATGAGTTCCAATTCGGCTGTTGACGATTCCGAAACCAAAACTTACGGAGGTTGTGAAGGTCCGGATGCTACGTTTGTGAAGTTGGTCAGCAGCGATGGACATCAATTTTTCATCAAGAAGACGCTTGCATCAATTTCTGGGACCATCAAAGCGATGTTGAGCGGACCTGGACAGTACTCGGAGAATGAGAGTAATGAAGTGAACTTCCGCGAGATTCCATCGCATGTTCTCCAGAAAGTCTGTCAGTACTTTTCGTACAAGGACCGCTATACTAGTTCGGCAACGGAGATTCCTGAATTCAACATCACTCCAGAAGTAGCGCTTGAGCTGCTTATGGCTGCGAATTTCCTCGACTGCTAGATGAGATGGCTGAGTCGATTGCTCACCTGACATGAACTGGAACTGCTGAGACATTTGTTTTTCGCACTTCAAGACATTTGTCACATGTATATTTTGAAAGTGCATTGCTC